AAAGTTAAACTGCAGTTTTTATCTTTCGCTCAGAGTTTTTAGTGTGCGCTCTACTTAGTAAGAATTTGTTACTATGTTTTTGTTTTGGTTTGGTTTCTCAATTTTTATTTAGACTTTATTCTTTTATTCTCCAGTTTTATTAGTTGTATAATCAGATTTTTGTTAAGTTTATTCCAGATATAGTCAAACCAATAATTTCCAAGCAACACAAAAAATGGCAAAAAACAACCTTTGAAACCATCGCATTTTTTATTGACATTTGCTTAAAAAAATTTTCAATGAACGTAGCAATTTTGCAAGATTTATTTGAGCATTTATATATTGTCTTTTAATGGAATAAAATATAACATTTTTTATAGCGCTTCTTTAGTTGATTCATTTTTCTTGGGCTTTGTAAATTAAATTAAATTTTAAAAATTTAATTGTGTTATCTCTAAGCTATAAAGATATAGTGACAATTATATTGAAATCTTTTTTAAATAAACCATGAAACAAAGAGTTCAATTCTTTTACAAAAGTTCTTCAACTGTTTAGACTAAAATTTGAATTAGTACTATTGTTTCCGTTCAATTTAATATCATACTCTTTATGAACCCATAATTGATTTTATATTTTTTTTTGGAAATTAAGAGAAAATATATGTTATGTTGATGTGTTAAAATTTGTTAGTTAAAATTTGAGGTAATCTAATTTTTAATTTCTATGAAACTTAGTACAAATATATTTTTTAAGATTCTGGTATATATACTTCTTAAATATACTCTTCTTATATAATATAGACGTGTATAAAAAAAAGCGTTATATGAATTAAAAAACAAACATCTTTTTTACATTTTTTTTATGAATAGAGAATCATTAGAAGAGTATTAAATGCAATTTTATCATTTTATATACTTTTTATATCAGGTTAATTGCTGTAAAATATATTTTAATGTATTAAATATAGCGTAAGTATAAAAGCGAAAATAAAAAACCTTACTTTTTAACTTGCAAATTTGAATAACTTGAAAACTTGATAACCTGAATAACTTGATAACTTTATATCAGACACTCAATTTATACTATAAAAATCGATTAGCAGTCTGTTGATTTTAAACAAGATAATCAATTTATAATAACAAGTTACATATTAGCATATCAAAGGAACTGCTGCCTTTTTTTTTTAAAAAAAACAGGAAGTTAACGCAGAAGTATACACAGAAATATGCACTACTTTAAACAACTTTAAAGTATCACAAACTAGTTTATCAGTCAATCAAGCAAAACATTTGATTAAACAAAAAAGAAATCGTCTTTATTATCTAACAGTTCTTATTGTTTAATTTTACAAATTTGCAAAGAATACTGTAAACCGGGCTATTATGTTAAATTTTTTTGCAACGCATGCATATTTTGCCTGCTTTTTAACATACTAATTGTTTATCTTTTAACATAACTAAGAATAATACGGAACAGTTATAGCTGTTTGTAATAACTTGTTTGATTTTTATTTTTAAACCTGAATATTCAAAAAAGATTTTTTTCATAGCTTTTTAAGCATTTCCGAAATAAAATAGTTTTGTTTTTTAATTAGTAAAACAAACAGTTTTACAAAATTAAATTATTTGAAAAGTGTTTAAAAGAATACCTAAATACAAACATAAAAATATTTTACTTTATTTTTATCAAAAATTTATATTTTTCATGGGCTTTATTTCGCCTGTGTAAACGGGCAAAATAAAGCCTGTGCAAAATATTTGCATGGTTTTGGCAGGTTTGGCGCCCGCCTTCACACCCGATTTGCAGCTTCTTGTTTTTTCTTTCAAATAATCACTTAAGTGGTGTTACTAAAACTTTTTTAACTTTTGAAATATTAGAGATAATTTTGTTCTGTAAAAAGAATATAAACACCAATACAATGTTTTACCTTATGACATTAAATGAATTAACAAAAACTTTACTCGATTTTAGATTAAATGTGGCAAATGAAGAACTTGGCTAAATTTTGAGAATTATTTGTCACTTTATCAAAAAAAAAATTGAAAAAATATATTTCAAATATTTATTATTAAATAATACACATTTTACAACTACTATTAATCAAAAGAACTTTACTTAAAACAAATTTTAACTGAAACAGGCATTACTAAAGTCAGTAAACCAAATAGCATTATTTTACTAGTAAAGTATTTGAGGTCATGTGATTGTTTTAAAATGAAAACAAATATTTACGCATAAAAATAAATAATTTTTTTCTAAATCAGCCAAGTTTGAAAACATATTTGATAATATAGCTGAAAACATATTTGATAACATGGCTAAGCGTTCCAAATTTCAACTATCAAACACAGAGCTATGTTATCAAATCTTAGTTGGCCCAACTTAGGGAGTGGATTCACAAAACTTTTTTAAGCGTAAGTTTGGCTTAAGTTTGGAACTTGCAAAAAATTTACTTATTTTGTATTCACAAAACTTGCACAAAAAACTTGCGATTTATCTTGCGTTCAACTCAAATTATGGC